TGCTGTGTTCATCCAGCTCTACACCTTGTTATCTCAGAATCTCCAGCATCTGCAATTCCTACTATGTCTGCTTGACTTATTCACTCAGTTGCTTTGTTTATGAAGCTCATGACTGATTTGCTAACTGTTCACTCAAATGTGTCTTGTCACACACCAAGATCTGTGCACATGAACTCTCTGGTGACGCTTGCCTTTGCGCGCACTTTTTAGATTCGCGTGATTAAGTCTATGTAGCCGGTTCGTTCTGCCATTTTGCATCGGCTTACACTTCTCTGTATTGAATTCCACTTCCTACTTGTCTGCCTGGTATCAGTCCTATTCCTTTTCTGTTGTAGTTAATTGTTATCATCTTCGCTTTGCCACTCTTTCCAAATTTTATTTGACTCTTCAATTTAATGAGCCTCAATTTTGTTAGCTAGCCTTTTTATACAGAGTTTTAAGTGCTTTCTTAAAATCCATATAGACAGCATCCACTGCATTACTTCACCCTAACGTCTATTAGATTAGCTTTTTACAAACTTATTGGTTTTCTTTCATTTAACTCAAACTTCATGTGCCTGTTAATATCTTTCTCCCCGAATTATTGATTTTAAAACCTTACCGCTGATATTAAATTTACAAACTGGAGTTACAAGGAGTTCTCTTGTACTTTTTTTTTCTTGAATAAGAATGTCATGTTTGCCGTTCTCCAATACTGTGGGACTTATGTGGAAGATTGTAATCCTTTTGCTGTTTCTGCACCCACTTTGTTTATCAAACTAGGATGTAAGCCTTCCAAACAGCAACTTGTCTTAAGTATAGTCACCCTTTACTGGATATCTTGGCTACTAATTTTCATCCTATTTGTTTTCTCTAGCATCTCCAATTCTACTGCTGTTTTGTCAGTTATCTGTTTAATAAGTAGCAAAATAAAGAACTCAGTTAGCATACCAATGTTACCCTATGCCTCTAAAAATATACAGTTCTTTATACTTAAGTTTTTCTGCTTCTCCCCTGTCTTAGCTCATCTATTATTGAAACTCTCATCGTTGCCTTAATTACCATTAAATTGAACCATTCTACTGTGCTACTAACTAGTTTTGTAAACTTGAGGTCATCCAAAACTCTGCTTGCATCAAAACTCAACAGCAAATCCCCGTCTCCAATTACCTCTGTGCTCACTGATCTACCTGCTGTTCACGATGTTGAATTCCTTTTCGGGTCAACTGCCACTGTATTCTCGTTCTCTTTGGCAATCTCATTGCCCTCTTCACAGTCGTTTTCAATTCATTGCTTTTAACCTGGTTTTGTTTTGAAGAATTCACCATCATATGCTCTCTTTAAAAGAAGATATTTTGTTGTTTTCTTTCTTTTCCTTGTCATTTTGAAGAGCCTTGCTTTCACTATCTGTTGCCATTTTCCTGTCAGTATTTAGTCCCATTCTATCCTGGCCATGTCCTCCTCATCCCATTGAAATTCACCCTCTTCAAATTTACAAGTTCAGTTTTCTACTTTGTTGTTAATTCTTCTCCATTGCTAATCTTAGCCTTCGTGTTATGATCACTTTTAAATCTGTGTTCCATCACAATACTTGTTGTGCTTGGCCCAGCACCTCTCCTTTCCAGTATAAAACCCAACAGGTTTTATACTTCCGAGTTGGCGCAAGAGATAATGAAAATTCTCCTGAAAACATTTCAGAAATTCCTCCTTTTATCCACGCAAATATCAATTGGAATAATGATAAATAAAATCCCTTATTACTGCCATTCCAAAACATCTAAAGATTTAAAGTAAGAGTAGCAGTAGACAGTTTGGCCTAAGTTTGCTTCACTTGTGGTTGATTTGTTTGTGTTCTGAATTCACATTCCTAACCACCTACTATAACCATTAATTTCCCAAGTCCAATAGCAAGTTGTCCGTCCATCTTAAAAATATTAAATAGCCAGACAATTTCAAGGTCATCCACCCTTTGGAGAAATCAGTTCTCCTAGAAAGAGTGAACACTAATTTTAAAATACTGCCCGCTAGTTTTGACTGATCAACAAGAGGAATATCCTTTTTCACCTTTGCTTTGTCAAAGCCATTCACAACCCTGTACACTTGAATCAAATAATCCCTCACCTTTTTAAACTCAGCGGAAACAAGTCCAGTCTGTCTAACTTCTCATAAGACAGCCTGACAGTCCATCGAGCAAATAGATATCCTCAGAAGTGCCACCAATGCATTTACATCCTTGCTTAAATAAAGAGACCAAAACTGCACACAGCAATCAAGATCTGGTCTCATCAGGTCCTCGTTAACTGTAGCTTAGTATCCTTACTTTAATGTTCAATTCCTCTCTTAATAAAGGATAGCATCCCACTCTCAACCTAATTTACATGCTGTACCTACACACCAGCTTTTTGTACCTGATTCACTAGAACATCTAAATTCCTCTGCACCTTGGGATTCTCCAGTTGATTTCTAATTAATTAATACTCTGCTTCTTCCTGCCAAAGCAAATAACTTCTAATTTTCCCACATTATATTCCACCTGCCAGATCCAATCCCAGTCATCCTGAAGCCTTGTCTTCTTCATGGCTGTCAGATTATGTTTATTTACTTCCGTACGTACTCTCAATTCATTTAGTTTGTTGTGAATGCTACGTGCATTCAGACACGGTGCCTTTGCCTTCACTTCATCTAATCTTGATTGTTGGTGCGTTCCTAGGATTTTCTTTTGCCCCTTTGTTATTCGCTGACCTTTGTTTCCTCTCTTGCTAATCTCTTCTCTTACTATGACCCTATTCTTTGTTACACATCTTTGTACATGTGATCTCTTGCCCCTACTATTTAGTTTAAAATCTGCTCTACATGTAATTCATGAGAACATTGGCCCCAGGGAGGTTCCACGTGTCTACTCTCCCAATGGTATTGCCCCATGAACCAGAACCCATTCTCCCACACCAATCTTTGAACTATGAATTAATCTTTATTTTTGAATGTAGCTCCGGTGGTAATCAGAGATTTCAACTTGTGGAAGATTTGCTTCTTGATTTAGGTCTGTTTGTCTCCTCGTATATCACGTGAATTGACCTCCTTAATCAGTTTTAATTAGTATATGTTCACATATTGCCTTTTATATGTTTCATTAACATAGCACCAACTTGTGTCCTGTTAAAATTTAAGAATAGAAAAGACCTAGCTTCATTCTCTGTAATAGAGAAAGATCTAACACAGATTTCTGGTATCTCAGCAGGTTTTCTCCCTTTTGTTTCACTCATTAAATAGAGACCTGTATGAATGCTTATTCTTTTGAATAAAGACAGAAGTTAATTCTCTGTGCCCCAAATAAACAATTACTACGATGAGGGATGTTTAAACAGCTCAAAATCAATCTGGCTACATTATTTAGAAGTTACAAGTATTTTTATTCAGCATTCTACACAAGGTTGCAAAAATTAGTTTTAAAAACAAGAACAGTGTTTGGTTTAAACTAATCTTGTAATTTAGAATCTTCTGCGAAGGTGCCCTGTCTTTCACATCTTCATGAGAGTTCAAATTTTCTGTGTTCTGCGTTTTCTGTAGATTCGTCGTGTTTCGTTTGCAGATCCAATTCAGCGGGAAGGATTGGCAGATGACATTGATCGCCGTAGCCCAGTGGTGCGATCCCATTCCTCTTCTGGAAGTTCTCCTGGATTAAATTATGCTGCCACAAATGGTTGCAGCCAGCCCAATATTCAATCCAAGGTAAGGTTCATTATTCTCCTTCACGTCTCAGTTCTACAAGATAATTATAGATGGAAGTTATTGTGTTCTCTCTTAATTCACGCATCCAAAAAAGCCTAACTGTCTCTTCCATCCAGTTGTTTGCTGTGCCGGGATGTTGTCAGATGAAAAAGACATGAAAATAATTTTCTGATGTAGTCTAATCTCTGAACTGGCTCATTTATTTCCATATTTTCATAATTGTTTGCACAATGAGTATTTGAATTCAAGCTTTTGAACAATAAAAGAACAATAAAATTCAGCCAAGACAGCAAGAACTGCAGATGCGGGAGTCAGAGATAACAAAGTGTGGAGCTGGAGGAGCACAGTAGGCCAGGCAGCATCAGAGGAACAGGACAGCTGACGTTTCGGGGCGGAATGCGAATTCAGCCAGTATGTTTTCAGTTTGCCCTGGACCAGTGGCTAACTTTAGAATCTCGCATTCAAGTTTGACTTTTAAGCTAATCCTTGAGTATAGGGCTGAGGAGGTTCTGTTTAATCACAATTGCCATATTTGGCTATATTTCTATTATTCAAATTGGCATGCAAGATGCATGAAGCTGTTTGAAGACGACCAGAAGCATTCTGATATCCTGGCCAACGTCTGGCCCACTAGTAACACCACTAAAAAATAATTAAGGAATATATTGCATATGCTCGTAACCTGTCTCATTTTGTGGTTTTGCTTTCAAACAGAAATAATCATTTGTTTGTTAACTCCAGTTATTGTTGTTACGTTTGTTGTGAAGCTGAGTTGTGGATTGAAGTTCCACTCTAGATACTTGATCACGCAATCTAAGTTGGCCTTTCAGTGTAGTACTAAGGAAATTTTGCACTGAGGCATCATCTTTCAGGTAAAATATTCCAAAGCCGCTTGTACTCTGGATACTTGTCATGCTTTCTTTTGCTACCAAAGAAGATCAGGGTTTCTTCCTTCTATCTAGCTAATATTTATCTCTTGCCAGCAGGAAAAAAAATTCAAAATTCCTGTAACATTGCCAACACTATAAGAGTTGTTGTTCAAAAGTTTTTCCTTGGTTTTAAAAATCTTTGTCATGTTCTAAGGTCATCAAGGGCACTATATAAATGCAGTCCTTTGTTTTGTGTTTCATGCTGTCTTTTTTGATTTTACAAGTGTTTGATCTTTATTGAGTTTAGAATGTCAAAGTGGAATTAGTTCTTTTTATTTAGTCAGTGTCTATTGAAACATTGGCTTGCATTATTTATGTTGACTCAATTTTGTATTTTTAATTCATTCAGTACAACACCACTCCAACGAAAGGTTTTCTGTCTCCAAGCGCACGCAGCTCTGGCTATAAAAGTTCAAAGAAATGTTTGGTAAGTTGAAAGCAATTCAGTTTATCGTGTAATTAAATGATGCTTGTATTGCTTTGCATTTCAAAAGCGAAGTGGAGAATACTAAGCAGTAGAGACGGCATATCCATAGAGATGAACAGTTAATACTTAAGGTCAATGATCTCATCTTAAGAATGGGCAGAGTTAGCGGTTTTATGTGAGCAAGTGAAAGGAGAAAGAGCAGCAGGGTAGGATTAGTAGAGTATAAACTAGGAGAGATTAAATAAGAGTTAGCGTGCAAGTCCAAAGGATATAGTGGTAGAACAGGTAGATAAATGAAGAAACACAACAGAGGAGCAGATGAATGGCATTTTGTAGGTGTATTCTGAAAGTGAGAATGAAAGTAAAATAGAAATCTGCAAACATGAAGGAAACAAAATGGAGATGAGGTTAAAGTCTGAAATTGGTGAACCTGTGTTGAGTCCTCAATGGGCAAATAAGGTGGCAAGTTAAAATGGCAGACAACAAAATGTTCAGACTTGTTCTTATGGACTGAGCCAAGGTGTTTTACAAAAGTGTGGTATTGTGGTATTGTGGTATGGCACTGGACTAATAATCCAGAGTCCCAAACTGAATGTTCTTGGGACGTTTGAGGTTGAATCCAACCACAGCAGTTATTGAATTCAGTTTAAAATAAAAATCCTGAAATTAAAAACTAGTCTAATGACAAACATAAAATCATTATTGATGGTTGTAAAAATAAATGTACTTTCAGTAAGAAAATCTGTATTCCCTTGCCAATTTGCCTGCATATGACTCCAGACCCACAGCAAAGTGGCTCTTAACTGCTCTCTAAAAGACTGAACAGTCAACTCAATTCATGGGCAATTAGTGTTAGGCCAGAAATATCAACCTTACTAACAACTCCCACAGCTGACATATGTATAAATATGAAAATAAAATCCTTGATGTTCGATCTCTACAACATAGAACAGCCTGCATTGTGAGCAGTGACTGTGTTATACTAAATTGAAAGAATTACGTATGTAAGTTACTATTTCTGCTGAAGTGTGTTTCAAAAATAAAGGCACGGAAAATCACTAGGTGTGGCTTATACCTGGAAACAACAATTTTAGGTTTGATTCCAACATGCTTTAACAAAAATGTAGAAAGTTAGGAGTTAAGATTTTTCTTCTGGTTAGAACAATTCTACCTTTTGGGATGGCATAGAGCGCCATCAGCAGCAGTATACTTAAGCAACACAATTTACAATATACTGAATTAAAACATGGTACTGAAAATATAAATTTTTTTTTTTAAATTCTCAAGATCTCAGAGATGAGCAAAGAGCCTGGGGCCTTGTCTACAGCTGGTGTGTATCCAGCTCTGATCAGCTGTTCTTTACCAATTGAAACCATTCTACCCCAGCTTGCTTCTAACATGTGGTAAGTAAGCTTTATGATGCATTTAGTGGTTGTGCATTTCAAGATCCCATGTTTTAAAATGTTGCGTTTGAATTCTAGTTTTAAGCTGGCAGTTTTACTATGAATTAAACTTCTATTCAGTTTTAGTCAAGATAATGCAATGCAATCTGTCTCTTTTCTGTATCTAACCTATACGCACTTTTTTTCCTCTTACTAGGGCCCGAGGTTTGGGGCAGCTTGTAAGAGCTAAAAACATCAAGACAATCGGTGACCTGAGTTCGCTTACAGCAGCTGAAATTAAGTTGCTTCCGATCCGTTCTCCAAAAGTCTTTGTTGTTAAAAAGGCTCTCAAATCCTTCTACGAGCAGCAAGTGAGTTATTTCCTGTAAATTGATAGGTCCTACCCGAACTTAGATTTTGCTAAAGATCAGCTATTTATGCATGATAACTTGATGCAAGTCGTCAAGTTATGTTCGTAATTTTTTTCCAGTATATTTCAAAAAATATTTGCCAATAGTACTGTGTCCATGATTGATATCTAATTTTCTCGATCTACTTTTCCATGTTGGAACGGTATTACAGTTATGGTACTTAAGAAAGGTCATTTGGCTTATCAAATCCATGTTAGTTCTCTGCAAAATCAATTTAGCATTCCCATTCTCCTGCCCTTTTGCAGTCGCCCAGCATTTGCTTTTCCTTCTAGGTGCCTACGTAGTTCCTAATTGAATGTCATGGTTGAATTTACATGCAGTGAATTCCAGATCCCAACTAAGTGCAGTGTTTTTTTTTTAATTGAAGTTCTTTTTTCCTCCTGTTTCATTGATCCTTTTACCAATCACCTTAAGTTACTGCTGTCTCATTCTTGACCCTTTAACCATTGGGAGCAATTCTAAAATTGGAAAACGTATGATTCGTCTTGTTTCATTTATTGGCCTATTATGATACCAAGCCTTGGTTATCAACCCAAGGGCTCTGAGGAGGCATGAAGAGCAAGGCTCAGCAACTGTGGCATCATGGTAATATTACTGACTTATAATTCAAAATCATGGCGAATGCTCTGGGGACATGTGTTCAAATCCTCCATGGCAGCTGGTGAAATTTAAATTCATTTAACAAATCTGAAATTAAAAGCAAGTCTCCATAATGATGTCCATGATGATGATCATTGCTTTTTTTTGTAAAATCCTGTCTGGTTCACTCATGCATTTTAGGGACCGAAACTGCCATCTTTACTTGGTCTGGACTCCGTGACTCTAGATCCATAGCACTCTTAACTGACTTGGTAGCTGAAACCAAGCTGGCATGATGCAAAAGGTGTTGGATTCAGAGAAATGTTTATTCATAGAAGATTTGTCAGATTAGACAGTAAGTGTTACAGAAATTGGGAGGTCTGAAGACATTAAAAGCAAATATGAATCATCATAATTTGAGGCCTTTGACAACTAGGAACCAAATCTACTTTGGAGAAGAATGGGTTGATAGACAATTGAGAGTTTCTGCAGGTAGAAGTAGTTTAGGTACATCGATACTTAGAAAAATATCCAGTGAACCTCTGGTTTAAACAGGGCTTTTGAATGGTTTCAGTTTCTTTAACTTGATTGCTGCTTCTTCATGGATAATAAACATTTCCAGAAAAAGTAGAGATTACTATTTTTGATTTCATTATTTTTAAGTTCTAATTTGCATTTCTTAGATTTGGAGAATGGTTTGTAGTTCTCTACTAAGTGCTTTCTTTTGCTGTTTCAGAAAAAATCCCTTGGTTTGGATGAAGATAATGTGTTTGCAAATGACAAGGCAGTAAATGGAATGAAGGACAGCAGTTACTCTAATGGTGATGATGAGAAACTAGCAACAGGTAAAATTAAAGCTGTCTCAATTGGATCTTTCCATTAAATTAAATTTAAACTTTTTAAATCAAATTAATTTAAAACTTGAATGCTCATTTTATGATTTTAAACTGAGGAACATTGATTTAAGAATCTGTCCCAGAGCCGCTCAGAATAAGACTAGGTGAGATCATGGGTTTTCACTTTCAAGATTTGGGTCAGCCATTCTGAATGAATTTTCTTATGTCCTCAGTCTTTAGGGAGAACAATCTCAACCCCATTACTTATCTTACCCAACCAACTGGCCATGTTTTAAAAGCAATTTAGCAATCACTGAAAAGCCACAAAAGAAATTCCATCACAGGTTTACATGGGTAAATGGGGTGAGGTGGTTTAGTGATATTAATGGCAGATGGTGGAATTTGAAATCAATAAAAATCTGAAAATAATAGTCTAATGATGACCATTTGTTGATTGTTGGGGGGGAAAAAACCCATCTGGTTCACTCATGTCCTTTGGGGAAGGAAACTGCCATCCTTACCTGGTCTGGCCTACCTGACCCCCAGCAATGTGGTTGACTCTTAACTGCCCTCAGTTAGGTTTGGGCAAAAAATACTGGCCTAACCAGCGATGCCCTCATCCCATGAATGATTTTTTTTTTTTAAATTGAAGCTTTTTATAGTGAAGGACAGCAAAAAATTTAGCTCCTCTTGTCATAGTCTAATTGGTAAAACTCATTGTTACTAGGATTTAGTCCAGTCCCATTGCTGAGACTCAAACTTCAAACATTCCTTTTGCAGAAATTTAAAGATCCCTTTCTGTTAGTGGCAGCAATTATTCATGATTTTAGCACCTTTATCAAAGCTTTTTTTTAAACCCTTGCCTATAACAGAGTAATTTCAACGTGTCCAGTCTCTCTCTCTCTAAAGTCCCTCTATCCTGAGTACCATTTTAGTAGATCTCCCATTCAAGTCCTTTGACATCTGTCCTAAAGTGTGAACTGACCAGTCTGAACAATGATTATTTAAAAGCATATCAGTTTTTCACCAATGGCTTCAATATATGTTGCGTGTTTTAATGAGAGCTGTATTGAGCTGCTTTTGTGTTCTTTCAGATTTAATTGAAACTGGGCCATCTGCTACCACTCCATCCACAGCTCTGGTTTCTGAGGTAAACGCCCTTTCCGCTCGGTTTTTCTCTGAGAACTTGAATGAACACTCTGGGAGTCAACTCTTCACAATGCATCAGCAACTGAGCAGCATGATGAACTGTATAATGGGAAACCTACAGTCTCGCTGGAGGTCACCGCCACGTGAAGCTGCTGACTGATTTTTAAGTCACTTGGACTGGCAAAGTTCAATCAAAAGAATAGAGATCATTGATTGCCTCAGCCTACTTCTCTCTCCCCAACGGGCTTAATCTTTTCTTACTTTTTGATAATTTGCCACGTTCTTTCGGGTCAGTGTAATTTTCCCCTTCAATAACATCCTGCTGCTGTGGCATTTGAGGCTTTCCCTCTACCTTAGAGGATTGAGAATTTGAATTGCAGTTTTGTCTGCTGCTCAAACCCATCTATCCTCTTATGGAGGTGTTCTGGTAAAATACAGCAGTAAGTGTTCTGGTCAGATTGGGAGGAACAATCCAGCAGTGTGCACTACCTGTTCTAGAGAAGCTGATTTGTTACCAGCTGTGCCAAAACCATGGGAGACTGTCTTCCATGAAGGACAAATGGTGGGATGTTTTATATTTAAAGAATGAGGTTGAAGGGAATTTTGTTTAAAGAGATTAAAATTAATTTTCTAAAACAAAAGTGCAACCAAAACTTCTAGTCTTATTTTGGTGGATTGCTTTACACAAAGGCAAATAAGGTGCTGGTAACTGGAGAGAGTCTCGCTTCGTGAAAATGATCATTTTTTTAAAAAACAGTAAGGCAGAATCTATGCAGGAAGAGGACTACACATGGAGCTTTCATTTGAGAGACTCATTAGTGCTATGTAAATTGGTAAAACTAGTTTTTAAAAAAATAAAATTTTCTGTAAGAAAATAATTTTGTGATGTTAAATTATATCGTTTTACCAAATGGAGTTTTGTTTTTGTCAGTGGAATTTGCAGTGAAATATTGCTGCTAATTCTGTATCTCTGGCCATTACTTGACCTTGTAGTGATGTTTATAGATGCCAGAGTAAATCAGTGCACAGAAATGGAATCAGAGCTGCACTTTTTTTAATTAAACCTGTGCTTGCGCTCACCATGATATTCACTCTTGTACAAATAAAAGGAATTGAAATTTTGTGTTTAGTTGGCTTATTTTGCTCACTGCTTAGTTTTAATTTGTTTTGCCAGGACTGCTTGACTGAAGACTTGATTGCAAGTTTTTGTACAAAACTAAGCTATCGAGTTGAGTTCCAGAGGTACAAGTGACTGCAGTAATATTAAAGGTTTATTTGACCGTCCAGTGCCAAAGCCAGTGCAGATCATTAAGTAATCTCTGCAGTGGCTAGAGTCAAACCTAACACAAACAATCATGGTTGTGAATGTTAGAGGTCACTCATCTGAGCCTGGATATCAGTGCAAAATTTATTTGGACAGCTTCCTAGTTCCAAATCTGCCACTATTTCAAAAGCACCTCCAAAACCTTTGCCTACAAAAACAAAGGACTTCATGGGAACAGTTTCTGCATCGTAGCTGGGAATGAGTTCTGGAACTTCCTGTCAGATAGCTCTGCATGAGTACCTTCACCACAGACTACAGTAGTTCAATAAAGCTGAACACCAGCTTGCAAACAGTCACAGATGGGCAATAAGTTCTATTTGATTGTTAACAATACCCATGTGATGAAAATGAGTGATGAGCAACATGGGCAAAATGTATCCACTAACCTAGAATATAATAATTAACTAGAATCAAGGTTTGTGTCAGTGATAGCTGTCCTGTCTCCAGTATTAGAAAGCTGTGAATTCAAAAACCATTCCAGTATCAGTGTGGGCACACTTGGTAATTTTGCTGCACTGTTAGTTTGAGTGTCATCTGGATGAGCTGTTACTATGGATTCCCCAGGAATTTCATGTGGCACTATTCTAAATATTTTAGCCACATTTTTATATTTTATAGTTAAGTTTTTAGCTTTTAAACAGGAAACAGTTAATCGGTTATGAAGTATTTTAGGGGGCATCAGTCATTGATTTGACTAGGAAAATGCAAGTTCCTTCCTATCCATCTTGTACAGTGACAAATGAATTGTCATAAGATGAATTCAGATTTTGAGTCTTGTTGAAAAGACTTTGTCAGCCATGAGTATTCATTGAAAAGGATGTGTAATAAGTGGAATTAAATTTGTTTTCTGTAGAAATGAATGATCTCTAATATTCACTGTTAATATTCACTAACTTCAGCAACAGATGTAATTAATCTGAATATTTGAGTTGCCTTTAACCTATTTTTAAGCAAAATGTATCCACATTTATATAAAAGGCATGGTCTGACCTTATTAGAAATTTTTGGGAAACTTACATTTTTTAACACTTAATGCTAATAAAAGCAAAACATGCTGGAAATATGTAACTGTTAGATCAATATTTAAAAAGGTTAATGTTTCTATCAAACCTTTCAGTATTGGGTAACTTAACCACATTAGCCTACTCGTTCTGTATTTGTATGTCTGCAGGGTATGGGATCCCAGTTGCAGAATTTCATATGTCTGCTTGGTTTAACATGAACTGTGGCATTTCAAGATACAGCAGGAAGGGAGTTGGGTTGGTAGTTAGGATATTTGTTGAAGTTGAAGAAAGGAAAAAGCATGTTTCACTATTTTTAGCTTGTGTTTAGAATCTTTAGCCATACTTTACAGATAGTGAGCTTGGTGTGTGCACTCTAAATTAACCTAAATGTAAACTACACATGCATTCCTCGGACAATCACTTTGGCGAAAATATTGCCAAGTATTCATCTAAGAACATAAGTTGTAGGAGTAGGCTTTCTGGCCCCTCAAGATGCTTCCGTATATTAAGATCATAGCTGGTCTTGCTGTGGCCTTGTTCCAGCTGTCGTGCTTTTATTATTAATTCATGAGAGGTGGGGAGTATTTCATTACACCCCTGCCTTGTGCCTTGAAGATAATGGCAGGCTTTGAGAGGTGAGTTGCTTGCTGTAGGATACCTTGCTCTGACCTGCCCTTCTAGCTGCTTTTTATACAACCAGAGCAGTTTAGTTTCTGATCAATGGTAACCCAAAATATTAATAGTCGGGGATTAAATTATAGTAATGCCACTGAGTGTCAAAGGACAGTGGTTCTGTCTTGTTAGAGATGGTCATTACCTGGCAGTTGTGCAGCAGAAATGTTCTTTACATCAGTGTGGAAAATGTCCAGATATTGCTGTATTTGAACTTGGACTGCTTCAGTATTTAAGTTGTGAATGGTGCTGAACAGTGTGCACTCATCAACAAGCATCCCCTCTTCTGACCTTATGATGGAGAGGTCATTGATGTAGCAGTTGAAGATGCTTTGTGCTGAACTCCTGCAGGGATGTCGTGGAGCTTTAGTTGACTGACCTCCAACACCCTCGATCGCTTTCCCTTGTGCCAGGTATGACACTCAACTGGAAGATACTTTTCCCCCAGTACCCTTTCACTTTAGTTTTGCTGGTGTTCCTTGATGCTAAATGTCTGTGATGAGCTCAGGAGCTGATTCGCCTTGGTGTAACTTAATCTCAGCTCTGAGCAGGTTATTGCTAAACAAATGCTACTTGATAGCACTGTTAATAATACACTCATTACTTTATGATCAAGGGTAGACTGATGGAGTGGTAAATGTTTTGGATTTGCCCTACTTTTTGTATATAAGACGTACTTGTGTAATTTTCCACATAATTGGATAAATTGACTGTACTGTAGCTCTATTGGAAAAGCCTGATCATGAATGTGCTAAGTTCTGGATGTCGCATCTTTGATACTATCACTGGAATATTGTCAGGATCCATAGCCTTTGCAGTATTCAGTGCCTCCAACCATTTCTTGATATCATGTGGAGTGAATTGAATTGGCTGAAGACTGGTATCTGTTAATGCTGGGAATCTCTGAAGGCAGCAGAGATGGATTATTCTCTCAGCACTTTGGCTGAAGATTGTTGCAAATTCTTCAGCCTTATCGTTTGCACTGATGTACTGTACTTCCCCCATCATTGAGGGGATATTTGTAGAGCCATCTCTTCTGGTGTGTTACTTTTATTGCTTAACACCATTCGCAACCAGATGTGGCAGGAGTGCAGAGCTTAGATTAGGTGGTTGTGGAATTGCTCAGCTATGACTATCAACTGCTATTTGGCACACAGTACCGCTATTTTGTAGCTTCACATTGATTCTTCATTTTTAGATATGCCTGGTGCTGCTCCTGGCATGCCATCCTGCACACTCTCTGAACCAAGGTTAATCCCCTGATTTGATGGTAATGGTAGAGTGGGAGAAATGCTAGGCAATGAAGTTGCAGATTGTAGTTAATTGCAATTCTATTGCTTCTGGTGGCCCATAGCATGTCATGGATGCCAGTCTTGAGTTCCTAGTTCTGTTCAACGTCTATCCCATTTAGCAGTGTGATACAATGATAGAGAATATTCTCAATGGGAAGACAGATCTTCATCTCCAGATTGTGCAGTGGCCACTTTTACCAATACTATTGGACAGATGCATCTGTGACAGGCAAATTTGGTGAAATATGATTCTTTTTCCTCTTATTGCTTCCCTCACCATCTGTCACAGACCCAGTCTAACAGCTATATCCTTTAGGAGTCGACTATTTCAGTCAATAGTAGTGTTGTCAAGCCACTCATTGGTGGACGTTAAAGTCCAAAGTATATTCTGCACACTTGCCACCTTCAATATTTCCTCCAAGTAATGTTAAATATGGAGGAACATTGATCCCTTAATGGGGAATGGTTTACTTGATAATCAGCAGGCAGTCTCACGTTTAACCTGATGCCACAAGACTACTTGGGGTCCAATGTTGAATTCCTAGCGTAACTCCCACATGATTATATACCACTGTGCTGACACTTCTGCCTTTGGGACGGGACAGGCCAGACTCCAGGGTAAGGATGATATTGACTGGGACATCGTGTGCAAGGAATGATTTTGAGAGTATGAATGTCAGGCTGTCGTTTGACTCATCAGTGAGACTGCAATGATAGCTCCCAGCTGTCATTGTCATTTTCGGTGCTGACAGGTGGCCTGTCTGGTTTAGCAGTTGATACCACCGATTGGCTTGCCAGACCATTTTGGGGACTAGTTAAAACGAGTCAACCACACTGCTGCGGGTCTGGAGTCCCACGTAGGGCAGATCAGGTAAGTAAACTAGATGGGTTTTCATGACAGTTGACAATAGTTTCATGGTCATCATTAAGTGAATGAATCTAATTCGTATTTTTATTGAATACAAATTCTATCTGCTGAGTGGGGATTTTAATCCAGATCCCTAGAACGTTTCCTGGGTTTCTAAATTACTAGTCCTGCGATAATGTTATTGGACAGTCATCTCTCCCTTGGTAGTATCAGATCTCGTGGAGCTGTAAAATCTAGTAATTTCAAATATAACTAATATTCCAATCCTGCAATGCATTTGTTTTTAAAATGACCACAATTGGAAACGTTTTGCAGAAACTGAGCTTTATTTGACCCCGCAGCTAGTTATCAGGTGTTGAGAAAACAGACAATACATGTATAAGTTCACCTTGAGCCGTGAAGTATGGAGGCTTTTAAGTTCTTTAATCATCTCCATCAAAAGGGTCTCCAGTTATGAAAACCAAGTCTTTTACTGGCAACCTTTTTTTTTTAGAAAGCTCTTGTAATGAATTTGCAAACTAACTACATATTTGTCAGGATACAGAAATAATACTATAGTTGATTAAGTAGAGTTGTACTGAAATCACATTTGTCATGAGCAAGTTATGCTAGATAATACATTTTCCTACTTCAGATGAGACTAATTGGTTTGGATATAACATTATGGAGCACATCTCTGAATACAAGTTAGATGTTCTGTAGAGTTAAAAGATGGTGCAAAGAATTTGAACAGTATTTACTAGTTTCGTTACAGCAGAAGTATCAGTTATACCAGGTGAACAACTTTGGTACCACTTTTTCTTTGTATGTACCCAGAATTTGTCATGTTTTGTAAAATGGGTTAATAAGAGAGTTGGATGTACAATGGGAGGTTGTTAGTTTCTTACAGGACAAAAAGTTCCATTTGAAAACATCAAATGATATTTTATGGGTTACTTGTGACATGTGTTTGTGTTTTAGGAGGGGAGTGTGGGAAGTGTCTGTGAGGAAGAATTGATCTAACTTAAATAGCATCCACATAGTTGGCTGGCAACATGCCTGTCATCCCAGTCCTTTGCACAGTACCGTACATCCATCCTTCATCAATGGACTGCACATTCGTAAGGACATCACCATCTTTGAAAGAGACTTCATCTGCATCAGCTGCTGAATAATCATATATGGCACGGTAGGTTTTCTGTGGAAAAAGAAATGAATTCAGATAATCTGGTCTGGAGCTGCTACTGAACTGAACAAATAGCTTATATAATCTAATCTTATAAAAGAAAGTGTCGTTGAAGTGCAGTAAGTTGGCATTCCTTTGCAGCAGAAGCAGACCATTAGATTCTGGCATCGTGGCTAAAAATGAAATCTTATTTCAGATCGGAGTTAGAGGCAAAGCGTATGATATGTAATTAAGGAGAGAATATATTCTGTCACTTCTCAAGAACTTTTAAGGTCGTGTTGTGCACGGCTCCATGACTTTGAGAAAATTGCATGACCCTAGTACCGATCTATTTTTTTTTCTTTATTCATTCACGGGATGAGGGTGTCACTGGCTAGGCAGCATTTATAGCCTATACCTAACTGTCCTCTGGGCAATTAAGAGTCAACCATACTCCTGTGGTTCTGGAGTCACATGTCGGCCAGATCAGGTAACGATGACAGTTTCCTTCCCTAAAGGACATGAGTGAAACAAGTGGGTTTTTCCTGACAATCGGCAATGGATTTATGGTCATCATTAGACTCTTAATTCCAGATATTTATTGAATTCAAATTCCACTATCTGCCGTAGCGGGATTTGAATCTGAGTGATTGGTACATCGCCAGAACAGCTCTTAAGATTGGATTTTATATTCTGGGGTTGATAAGAAAAGAAGCATTATCTAAGTTCCCATTTTATTATCCTGTTAACCTTTCTGGAATGAACATGAATAATAGGAGGGGCAAGATTGAACTGTGGTTCTGCTATATTAAGTAATGTTTTTAAAACTTCCATTGGGTTTCCTATGAGTAGTAATTTATTTGATCAATGCTGCCTCAAAGGAATCTGAAAATTTGACAACAATTGGCAGAAAAGATAATTCTCCTGTAATTTGGGCAATGATTGGTCTCTCACCTCAATTAGGAAATAACAAATGCCATGGCGATAAATCAGTAAGCTAATAGGTAGTTTGTACAGTAACATGCTTATGTGCATTTATTCTCAACACAGTTGTTACTTATGGCAACACAGCTGTTTATATGTGGCAAGCCACACCCAAACACAATGCATTTTCATAGTAAATAGTGTGTACAAGCAGAGCTACCACTTCCTTTTGGCAATAGAAAAATCCCTTGGTGGATTGGGAAACGTAGGAATTGTATGCCACGCTGTGGTAAGAACAGCCTAGTAGATCACATCATTATTACTGAACAGCAATCCATATGTAACTTCTATGACTGGAGGTTGCAAATGTTAAAAGTACTCATGTTTGCAAGAGACTGCTTCATTACTACCACATTATTTGCTGCGCAATATAAATTTATGTTTGATGCATCAGCCACTTACGCCAGTTGTTGAAGGGTGAGAGGGAATGGACGACACAGTGGTCTGCTGTGTAGCAACAGAGGATGATCTCTGCTGTGGTAGGACAGTGGTTTTGGTGTGTTGGTAGCCTGAAATAAACCAGGGAAAGATCGATGTGTTAGAAAGCTGATGCTGATTAATGCTCAAATAGTTTATTTGATAGGCGACTTTTAAATAATCCAGTTATTTCAGAAAACTAGCTGCAGTTCAAGATGTGTACCATTCTGCATGTTCCTTTTAGAAGAGAGATTTACAATTTCAAACCTTTCCAGTTACTTGGAAAAGCTTTCAATTGCAAAGGCCTGGTCCTAATCTAGGAGTAGTGAACTAACTGCTAATATTTGGATTTGTAGAGTCATAGCGTTATGCAGCATGGAAACAGACCCTTTGGTCCAACTCGTTCAAGCTGACCAGATCTAGTCCCATTTGCCAGCATTTTGCCCATATCCCTCTAAACCCTTCCTATTCATATATCCATCCAAATGGCTTTTAAATGTTGTATTTGTACCCACCTCCACCACTTCCTCTGGCATACACACACCACCCTCTGAGTGATAATGTTGCCACTTAGGTCCTTTTATTAAATCTTTCCCCTCTCACCATAAACCTCTGCCTTCTACTTTTGGGCTCCCCTATCTGAGAAAAAGACCTTGGCTATTCACCCTATCCATGCCCCTCATGACTTTACAAACCTCTAGAAGGTCACTCCTCAGCCTCGATGCTCCAGGGAAAATAGCCCCACCCTACTCAGCCTCTCCCTATAGCTCAAACTCTCCAGTCCTAGAAACATCCTTGTAAATCTTTTCTGAACCCTTTCAAATTTAACAATATCTTTCCTATAGCAGGGAGACCAGAATTGATATTCTAAAAGTGACCTAACCAATGTTCTGTACAGCTGTAATGTGACATCCCACTTCCTATACTCAATGCCCTGGCCAATGAAGGCAAGCATGCCAAACGCCTTCTTCATTATCCTGTCTACCTGCAACTCCACTTTTGAAGGACAATGCATCTGCACCCCTAGGTCCCTTTGTTTGACAACACTCCCCAAGGCCCTACCATTTAACTCTATAAGTCCTGCCCTGATTTGACGTACCAAAATTAAACACCTCACATTTATCTAAATTATTTTCCATCGACCACTCCTCAGCCTATTGGTTCATCTGATCATGGTCTCAACGAACTTGAGATAAACTACTTCACTGTTCACTAATTTTGGTCTCATCTGTAAACTCACTAACTATACCTCCTATATTCACATCCAAACTTCATGCATTTCACCTCTTCACCTCTGTTAGAACAAAGAACAGGACAGCACAGGAATATGCCCTTCGGCCCACCAAGACTGCACTGACAAATGATGCCTTTCTAAACTAAAGACATTTTGCCTGTATGTGGTCCCTATCACTCTATTCCCTGCATATTCGTGTATCTGTCGTGATGCCTCTTAAATGTTATTGTATCCACCACCAACACCTCATGGCAGCACATTTCCAAGTACTTATCAACCTCTGTGTAAAATCCTGCCTCAGGAAAAAGACTTCGATTGCACATTCTATCTATATCTCCCATAATTTTGTAAACTTCTGTCAGTATTTTGTTCACTGAAACCTAAATATCTCTGCTGTTTGGAAGCTTCAGAGAGCCTAAGATACAATCTCATTCTTGACAAATGGTTAAGAGGTGAATTTTTAATCAAAAAGCACATTATCACTTGTCAGGGAACTTTTGGTAAAACTGTCATTCACAAGATTGGCCATCAAGTTGCACCATGCTAAATCATTTTCCCTGTCAAATATTAACAAATGTGCCATCGAGGTCAGGGCTTCCCTAAGTGGGGATGAGGACCTCGTGTTATGTCAATTATCAAGCCCTGAATTGAAGTTACAGAATAAGAAAAGGCTCAGGAAATACTGATCTAACCAGACCAACCTTCTCTCTTCTGTGTTTCGTAGATTCACACAGCACAGAAAATGCCGTTTGGCCCTTGAGTCTTCACCGACATAATTACCACTAAAAATGCACTAATACCAATTTCCTGCATTTGCCCCGTATCCTTGAATATTATGATATTTGAAGTTCTCATCAAAATACCTTTTCAAGTTTGTAAGGTTTCCAGCCTCCAATACCTTCCCAGGCAATGCATTCCAGATTTCCACCACCTGCTGCGTGATAAAGTTTCTTTTCCCCCCAAATCTCCTCAATCTCCTGCCCCTTCCCCCAGCCTTCAATTTAATGAGTTATACCATATGTCTAATAGGGGACACTTTCTTCTGGTTTGTAATATGTTGTAGCCCCTCACCAGTTTTTAAGAACTTAACCTAAAAGAAAAGCATTAAACAAGGGGTTAAATGGCTTGCAACATTTTCCAACTAATGTAGTACTAGAATCAAGTAAATTGGTCACAAACCAGTGGTTGTTGTCTGGAAGAAGTTGTTTCCATTGTAGTAAGTAATGGTCTGATCAGGTTCAGAAAGTTCTGATTTCTCATCTCCACCACTCAAGCTCAGAGCACTGGCAGAGCGTGAGTGCTCCCGGCTGCGACGCTGGGCTTGCACTGGGAACAAGAACATTGGAGCACGTGAATAAATAGCTGCAAAAGACACAGACTCTATGGTCTCTTAAAGCACTAACAACTCAATTTTTATTTTTGGCACAGAATTTTTTTTTTTAAATCACCCTACTCAGATGTGTCTGAAGCAAACGAGATGTGAGGCTAAGATTTACTTTCTAATTCTATTTCTAATTTCTTCAATTCTATTACAATCAGACTTCTGAAATTTGGTCAAATTTTACTGACTGATATTTGCTTTCTAATTTACGGTAAACTTGGTCTGGCAGCTTTATTCCAAACAAATCATCGGTCTCGGAGTCAAAATATCCTGCTTCATAACACATCGTACAAAATAGTCTGTTATGAAGAACAGAACTTGTAGAGACTTACTGCTTAGCATGTGCAAACTCCTTGACTGAATGTTGTCTTCAGCTGGATCATAGTCAAAGACTGAGCCAGGGTTGGTGCGCCACACACGCAAATCTGTTGATGAGGATTTAAAGGGTTAGACAGACAAAATGTTTTTCATTGTCATTATTCCTGCTTTATCTTGTCTGCTGCAATCATAGAGTAGAGTAATACAACACAGAAAAAGACCCTTTGGTCCAACTAGTCCATGCTGAACATAATCCCAAACTAAGCTAGTCCCACCTGCCTACTCCTGGCCCATATCCTTCCAAACCTTTCTTATTCATGTACTTCATTCATGGGATATTGATGTCATTGGCCAGGCCAGCATTTATTGCCCATTCCTAATTGTCCAGTTGGCAGTTAAGTGTCAATCGCATTGTTGTGGATTAGACCAGGTAAGGACAGCAAATTCCTCCCTTAAAGCACCTTCGTGAATCAGATGGCTTTTTTTTTCTGAAAATCAACAATGGTTTCATGATCATCATTAGACACTTAATTCCAGATTTTTATCGAATTCAATTTCCACCATCTGTCGTGGCAGGATATGAACCTGGGTCCCCAGAATGTTACTAGGGTAAGCACAAGATTGGAGTCATTGATACAACTCTAACAAACACCGTATGTATGATGAATCAGAGATAGTAGGAACTGCAGATGCTGGAGAATCCGAGACAACAAGGTGCAGGGTTGGATGAACACAGCAGGCCAAGCAGCATCAC